TTGGAGTCATACTCAAACGTATAATCATTCAAGTACTTTCTGTAGTCATTGCTATTATTAAAGTAACATAATTGATCCATTAACTCATAGTTAGAACTTATTATTTCATACTTCAATTGAGAATTAGGCTGGAGATAAATTGGTTCATCATATAACAGAATATTACAGCCAGCCCGAAACTTTCCTTTCAATGGTACATCAATCCTGATATTTTCTTTTAAAGTGGTAAAAGATAATAGTGGCTTAGTTGATGAAGTAAAAATATTCACTTGGACATCATCACGAAGTGGTTGAATCAGTGTTAGTTGAACAGTTGACACTTTCTCATCAATCATAATTACTCCAGAGCCATTTAGACCTTCAGAGATGTCTCCTAAGTCTACCTGCTTACTTTTTGTTTCGAATTCTGGGAAAGCACTGAGCGTTAAGAGAGAAGCAGAAGTCGAGAAGGCAAGGAGAATGAACAAAATAAAAAGACAGCACGGGACGTTTTTTGAAAGCCTCTTCCTCGGCCTCTTCTGCTCACTTTCCTGTATGCTTCCAGTTCTATTATCTCTGGATTTATATGACCTATTTTCCATTTCGCTATTCCGCCCCTTCCAATCTATTGAGAAATTCAATGTTCAAAACAAATGAAAGTCACGTGTGATCACGTGTGAAGACTATGATTAAAATATTAAAAGATGGAGAAATAGATCTACATGACATGACTATAACAGGCAATAATTTATGATGGAAATAATTATTCAAGAGACAAACTCTCAGAGGGACGCCATTCCTTTGTGTGAGCCTATATTTTCTACACATTTAGGCAATCTACATGTCTCTATAGTGTCATTCTCTAATGGTCGACTTGATTCCAGTTCAGCTGTTAAAGCAAAGCATTCCCTTTACCAAGAGAAAGGTATGAAGAGGAGGACACTGGTTACAAAGATGGACCACATGACGTACATTGGTACCAATTACGAGACTGAGGGAACCATGAGCACCTTCTCTTTTAGAAAGTAAGAGATGACATCATTTATAATCTTGCCACACCCCTTTCAGCAAATGAGACTATTTAATTAAAGACCTTTTCACACTGGCAAAAGTAATGCACATTGATTGACATTAATTGTGTTCACACTCGCGTGGTTTCCAATTAATGCACATCACTCTCATTTCACCTTCAGAGGTGGATAGTATCAACGAAGTGCATCAAAGAGCTTCAAAACTGTGTCAGTGTGAAAAGACCTTTAGTGTTTATGTCCGTAAGTAGTAGCTAGGCTTAGATATTATTAGTTTTTAAATTAACTTGATTAATAATCTTTTTAATTAAAACTTTTTATGAATTACAAAATGATATAATTTAGTAATTAATTAATACTTACATGTAGGTATATGATTGGTGTTCTTGATAAAGAGACTGGTACTATGGAGTTACATAATACTGATATATTTCATATGACACCTTATATCAAAGGTATGGTAGACTCTGTAGCCAGCCATCAGTAGAATACATGTATCTATTAATGTTTGTATATTCTATACAGGCCTACGGTTTTTTCCAAAAAAATAGCTCCGAAATTACCCCAAATTTTTATTACATTTTCTGATACATATTGATGTCCTTATGCTACATAGCAAGTTTGAGCTGATTCCAACTTCAACTTTTCAAGTTACGGCCATTTTTAAAAATGAGCCGATTTATGAAAAATATTCAAGGCTATAGCCCATGGATTTTTTCAAAAAATGGCTCTGAAATCACCCCCAATTTTTGTTATGTTTTCTGATACATATCAATGTCCTTATGCTACATAGCAAGTTTGAGCTGATTCCGACTTCAACTTTTCAAGTTACGGCCATTTTTAAAAATGAGCCAATTTCTGAAAAATGCTCAAGGCTATAGCCCATGGTTTTTTCCAAAAAATGGCTCCGAAATCACCCCAAATTTTTATTACATTTTTTGATACATATTGATGTCTTTGTGCTATGTAGAAAGTTTGAGCCGATTCTGACTTAATTTTTTCAAGTTATGACCATTTTTTTAATATCAGCCATTAAATTTTTATAAAAAAATCCCTGTACTATAATATATATAGCCCATGGTTTTCTCCAAAAAATGGCTCCAAAATGACCCCCAATTTTTATTACATTTTCTGATACATATTGATGTCCTTTTGCTATGTAGAAGTTCAAGGCCATGCCAGTAACAAATTATTTTGAGTCATGGCCTCCTGCCCATTAATTTGTACATGTACATGGATAACAGGCAAACAGTTGATACATGTCTCTTTATGTGCTTGATCTCTACAAACTGATACTCCAGTGACTGATCCTAATCCCTCCAAGCGTAAGTCCATATCCAAGGAAGAGTATTCTGAGGGTCTTGAGAAAGTGATGATGTCATTCGGTAGCTCTCAGGCAAAGAAGGCGTGGTCAGCAGCTAAGAGGAATCATATAGACTGACAAGTCTCTATTCTTGTAATGTGCTATGCCAGGTAAGAGAAGTGAATGAATACTATCTTAATTATTTTTATTTGAGTGTGTGGTTAGGAATAATTATTTTTTATTCAGCATAGTGCCATTTTATGACTTTTATGTATTAATGCATTTAATAAATCTTTTTAATAAAAATTAATTAGCAGCAGTTCACTTCCTGTTTCATAATTCATTTTTAATAAAAATTAATTAGCAGCAGCTCATTTCCTGTTTCATAATTCATTTTTAATAAAAATTAATTAGCGCAGCCCACTTCCTGTTTCATAATTCATTTTTAATAAAAATTAATTAGCAGCAGTTCACTTCCTGTTTCATAATTCATTTTTAATAAAAATTAATGCTCATTAATTAATTTTAATTAATTAATTTTTTAAGTACTGGCACTGTCTTACCTAAGATAAGCTGAGCAGGCAATAGCATATTCCTGTTCCTTCCATAGCTCCTAGTGGGCATTAATTGGAGAGAGTAACCATGCTAGTGACACTAATAAATTATATTTTATCTCATGAACAATTATCTTATTGATGTAGTATAATGTCATGCTGATCTTCTTTTTCATTTCTTCTTTTTATAGTGCAACACGAGTGTATTCCTCAGGCTATTTTAGGCATGGACGTCATCTGTCAAGCAAAATCAGGTATGGGCAAGACTGCTGTCTTTGTCATAGTGACACTTTAGCAACTGGAGATAGTTGAGGGACAAGTCTCTGTTCTTGTAATGTGCCATGCCAGGTAATGAATGATCGCCATTGTATTTAAGTGTGTGGTTAGGAATCTTTAATTTTAACATATTGCTATTTTTACTGTTATACACATTTAATTTTACATTTTATTTCTGATATTTAATTTATTTTTCCATTTTTTCTACAGGGAATTGGCTTATCAAATATACAAGGAGTATGAACGATTCTCCAAGTATTTTGATGGAGTCAAGACCTCGGTGTTCTTTGGCGGCATTAGTGTCATGAAAGATGAGGAGACTCTGAAGACTAACTGCCCACACATAGTGGTTGGTACTCCTGGTCGCATCCTGGCTCTAGTGAGACAGAAGACGCTCAAGCTTCACAATGTGAAACATTTCATATTGGATGAGTGGGACAAGATGCTTGAGCAACTGGGT